TTTCAAATATCCACAAAGCGTTGTCGTCGGTTCGATTAAATGAATCATTATACAGGAAGTAGGTTGAATAAAATGAAATCTAGTTGTTGACTGGGTTTTTGTTCTCTGCTTTCATGGTCATAAATCGTAGTCAAACCCCAAAACTCCTATAAATTGTGAATGTTCCGACGTTTGGCCTCAACATTGTTCGAAAAAAAAAACATATTTTTCTATCTGCTAGCGAAGTATTGCTGCCAAAGTATATGGCCAGAGAAGGCTGGCTGTGAAAAATGGAAAAAAAGCGTGGTCGAGTGCTATTGTGCTGTCCCAAAGCCAATCGCCAACATTGTTTACATATTAATCAATACGTCTAAATCTTTCCAGTGTATTTCACACGCACCTATCGACGGGACTGCGAGCGCCGACTTTTCCCATCAATAAGTTTAAAATACGCTTATACATAATTTATAAGTTTTAAAAAACCCAAATGTAAGCTTTCAAACTTCAGGTGTTAGTATTTGTATCGTGTAGAGCTTAATGTACAGGTGTGTTAGACGTTTTTAAATTATTTAGAGAAGAGAAAGAGCTGTGGTTAATATTTTATTTGACTGTTGTAAAAGTGGCTAGCATTGTTAAATATATAATTCTTAGATATTTTGACCAACCTTCTGATATTTAGATAAAAATTCAAGTATTAAATGCTACATTATAGTGAACTTATGGGGTTCGTTGAGTGTTATTATAAATCGGAATGCGCACAGTTATAAAAATATAAAATATAACAAATACTTATGACGATGTTCTCAAAAAAAACATTTTTTTTCAGGATATAACGATTTCTAGATGTAAGAACATTTATCGTCTTCTAACATTCATCTAACATTTCAATTACTAAAAAGTAATTTTCATTCATATATAACAAAACTAACAAGGCAAAAGAAAATCATCAATCAAATTGTTTATATTCATTAATCACAATACCGCTTACGTCACATCTGAAAACCACAGCAAGTTAAGCTCGTGTAATCAAATAAATTCTGCACCCGTGCATTTCTCAATTTCCCTCTTCTAAATATTTGTAAGAAATAAAAAAAATAAAAAAATAATGGGTAATTCTACTAATATTAACACAGGCTCAGGTTCAAATTAAATGTTTCCTGCGTCTAACATGAACTAAAACAATATTCATTAATAAAAAATAAAAATAATATTGAATATTGTAAAATGATGAAGTGCATTAAAATTTTTGTATAAATTATTATTAAGAAAGAGTAAATAGAAATATACTTATAACTTATAATTTACAATATAACTACTAAAAATCAAAATATATTAAATTTACATAAGGATCAGTAGAGGACTCAAATTTTAACATTATATTTATATTTAATTAGATGTATGTATTAAAAACTTCTTAAAAAATGGGATTTTGTTAGGTATGCAGTATTGCATATAATATGTATAATTGTAACCTTTACGCACTTAATTTAAGAATCTCGATTCCAACAGTTTTATAAGGTTTGAAATATAGGCAATAATTGTCTATATAGTCTATAGGTGAGTTATAGCGTTATTAATGGCGAAAACAATTTTCTGAAAATATAGTAATCCTTTAATTCTTTTTTTTTGAAGGAAAAATTCCTATGTGTAATATTTTTCAGTTATAATTTGGTTAGTGAGTAGCGTGCTTCCCGTTTTTTAATAAAATAACACACAATTTTTTAGAAAAATGCTAACAATATCAATAGACAACAAAAGACAGTAAAACATTAGGAAAACTAAACTATAATATTCTGTATAATCGTCTGGCTTATTATCATTATTCATTAGTATTCGTTACAGGGCAATAACATCAAATAATGTAACAATATAAGATGTCTTAAAGGAGATAAAATTGAACATTTATAGAGTATATTTGAAATTTGGCTTCTATGTGGAGCTAAAATTTCAATCTCAACTAATAATATCAACAAATTTGTATGAATAGCTATAATCTTATTTGTAATTGTTTCGTATAAGCGTGTTGCGAAACTTAAAATATTTGAAATAAAAAAATTACTATTTTTAGTAGGGTACTCTCCCCAAAAAAATTATGTTTTTATACGTACACACTATCATAAATTATTACAAAATAATTGCATGTTTTATAACTTTTTACGCATGAAATGAGATGAAAACTGCCTTGGAGTGTATCCAGTTTTGGCTTACCAACACATTGGAGAGATGGGTTTTAACTATAAGTAGTGAAATCATTAGTTTATTGCTCGCAATTGTAATAAATATGTACAAAAAGAAAATATTACCATGCCTCAGGAGAAGATAGTCGCCTCCATTATTCCAGTTTAAAACGCCACCACTACCAGCCGGTATCTCATATTTAAATTTGGAATAGTTTTGTGCATAATTTGTTTAACCGAGTGTAAGAAATTGTAATTCAGTTTATTATGACATCGTTTACACTTTTTTAACTTTACTTCCATATTCATATATACTCAGTTAATAGTTTTCTTATTATACAAGTTGAAGGTATAATTATTATTTAGTGTAGAATATAAAAAAATGTTCTTTTTTTCAAAGAGAGAGAGATAGAAAGGACGTGTCTAAATTTGAGTCATTGGATGATAAAATTATCGTTAGAGTGAATCTTAAATGTTATTAATATTATTATTAGCATACGCAATTGACCAGTTAACTTTCAATTAATATTAATTCATTAGAAAAATCTACTATTCATAAATATGTTTCAAACTAGATAAGTAACTACTACTTAACTATTACTATTTTTTATAACGTTTTTATTACTACTAAATACTATTTAAACGCTTTATGTTATATTATTAGCTATCATTGTAACAACAATATTAAGTTGTTGAAGGTTGCTTTTATTATGATATTTAGGAGTTTATAAAAAAAAATAGCGAAGTAAGTGAACGAAAGGTTGAAATATTTTATGACAAACAACTTTAAATTTAAAATAACTAAAATCGTTTACATTATAAAACATTTTTTTAAAAATAAAAACCTGACGAGACCATTATAAACACACGATAGGCTCTAGTTATGAATCAATTAAACTAATAAATATTAAATAGACTAATTTAATAGATATTAATATTATTTAATTATATTACAGATTGATTTAACTGCCAAATTGACTGATGCTAAAGAGAAGTTAGTCATCATCGATTTTTTTGCTAAATGGTGTCCTTCTTGTAATTTAATTGCCCCGTACATTGAGGTAATACTAATTAAAAATTTGATTATACTTTTGACTTTTCTTATATAAAACACTTTTCTTTTAATTTATAGGAACTGAAAAACGAATTCCCTGATGTTATTATCATTCAAGTTGATGTTGACGAATGTGAAGAAGCTGCAATGGAATACAACGTTAAATCAATGCCTACGTTTGTTTTTGTCAAATCTCAATATGAGGTGAGTTAAACTACTGTTTTTAACACCTACGTAGAAATTTCAGAAATACTATACTTATTGAATTGCAGAAGGCGCATAAAATGTTTAAAAAAATCACTATTTCATACAATAAGTTTTCCAAAGTAGTTTATTAACATACGATTTTGAAAGTCTTAAGAACAACTTAAAAGTTTTAAATTTACAGTTTATACCTAAATATGTATAATAATGTCTTTGTTGGGAATATTTGAACAAGTATGTAGGATGTTTTGCTAGCCTAAAATATATTTGATTTCCATGTATGTTTGAAATTCACATAAGATCTAACGTAAAATGTCTTAGAAATAAAGAAGAACGTTTAATAGAAGAACAAAAAACAAATTAAAATGAAGGCTGGTGTGATATTTTAATTATTAAATTATATAAAAAATTCTATACTATAACTTTTAAATAGTTTCGAGTTAAATCAAAACGTTTACGAGGATGTATAATAAACATTTTTCAATGATTTTTGTATTCAAAAATAAGGATTTAAATAAAAAGACTTTAATTCGATGATAATACCTCTCGATGGTAAGTACTCTTTGGTAGTTGTTTACACGTTGTTTTCGTCTAAAATGATGATTAATTTACATTATTTTATTTATAGGTCGATCGATTTACTGGGGTCAATAAAGAAAAGTTGAAGGAAATCTTAGTGAAGAATAAATAATATAAAAAGTGGAAAAAATAAGTTACGAAAGCGAACAACTAACCGCTGGCTTAAACATTAAAAAACATTTTTATACTAATATAAAATAAACAATTTTATAAAAATTTTTGTCAGAACTCAAAAGTTGTAATTTGGATAAACATAACAATAGTACCCTAACATTCAGCTATAAATTTAAGAAAATATAGCTGGGAGAGGGTTTACCTGAAGTTTGTTTTACACAAATTTATTTAAGACGCTGATGGTTATTTAATGGGAACGGAAAGGGCTATTTATTAAAAGCAAAATACAAGCCATAGGTTATTTTCTAGTTATATAACTTTCAAGTGGTTTTTCTAAGTTTGATAAAAATTACTTTCGCAGAAGTCACTTTTTGTCGTACCTATTGGAAAGATTTAATTTTGTTTTTAAGGAAACTTACTATTTTCTTTATGGGACTTAAAACGTAGATTTTTCATTTAGGCATTAGAAAATTAGTTAGGGTCATCAGAAAAACTATAAAAAATAAAAATATAAACCCTTATAACACAATTTTTTAACGAAAATAAAGAATAGTCTTCATTTGTATAAAATTTGGTTCATTCCGTTCCCCTTAAATCATATAGGTACATAAAAATACATTTTTTATTTTAAGGTAATCTTTTGAACACTTGACTCCAAGGTCAAAAATGTATAAAATAAATACTTATTTTTAATATTATGTTGTAATAAATAAAAAAAAGCCATAAGAGAATTACTAGGATTACTAGTAATTATATTACTAGTAATTGTCTTTTGGCCCCTACTGGTTCTGTACTTGGATATAATTTTAATGATATGGTACATTTGGTTTATTGCTTGGTCAAAGTTTTAAATTTACTACTATAAATGAACGGATAGAAATATGTACACTTACCTATTAAGGGTAATGGCGACCAATGTGAATACTGAGGACGCGACTGTCCAATATGCAATGAAATTAGATGCCATGCATAGCTCAAGGCCAAATGCCCAATCCGAGTTGAGCATATAGATAAAATTGGGTAAGCAGTTGAGTGCTGCCATGAATAAATCTGAAAGACTCAAACTGACCATGTAACAATTAGTCACCGTTCGCATTCTTCTGTGGGCTAAAAAAAAAAAAAAATAAGTGAAAGACATTTTTAGAGGCTATATTTAAAAAATAAAATGTTAAACTGATTTTTAAATGAAAACCAAAAAACTAGTATTATATCACAAATTACAAATTTAGTTGAAAAATAACTAATAAATCGTCCAAACGTTAATACTCCATAATCGTTAAAATAAGATGAAAGTAATTAATTTTATTATTTGTATTTATGTTATGCAGAACATTGGATACAAAAGCATTCAAATATTCAAGGCATATACATTTTGGTGCACCATTTTTTGTGGTATTTGGTTAGATTCAAGGTCGCCTACTAAATTCTAGTTTTTTTGTCTATGTTTTTATAATTATACACACACAAACAATAACGCATTTCTCTTTATATCATTCCCATGTCGCCACGGCTTACAGCCAATCTTGACACCTTTATTATAATATTTTAGTCAACTGAACTTTATCAGATAAATGCTAACTATTTATACAAAATATGTTTGAAAAATTGTTCTAAAAAACGCTATGAATATCTGAGTGTTCATAGTATTCTGTTTAAGTTTTAAAATATAAGATGATATCTAATTTGTCTTTCAGTGTAATGGATTTTGTCATTTATCACTTGTGTAGGTAGGGATAATATTATAACCTATTATGGTGATATGAAAATACAGCGGGTCATAAAAACTTTAAATTCTATTTTTATTGAAACACTTTACAACAATTTTATAGTATTCTGTATTAGTCATACTATAATGTAGTAAAACACGTATCGTATTATACTTCGCAAAATAAACAATCACTTTCAAAATGTTAAAAAATGATAACATACAATTACTAGTTTTGCAATTTTTACGGATTTAAATACGTTTGAACCATTAAGGGCTTAACAATAATAAAAAAGCTAAAAAAAAAATGAAATTGTAAAGTAGGTCACTCACTTTACAATTTACTACTAAGTCAATATATTTAGGCATTTTTTTATGCAAATATAGTTTGTCTTGAGTAATAATCTTAATGAAGTATAAAAAATTCCAACATAGTTGGATATAACTGTCTTCTTCTTTATCTTCGCCTTACACTACCAAATACATGGGGTCGGCCACCCTAGTCCTACACCTCCATAGAGCTCGATCTTCTACATCTCCTTCAAACATCCCAGCTTTCCTCATATCACTCTCTATTCCGTCCATCCATTTTTTCTTTGGTCTTCCTCTTCTTCTTTTTTCCTCTACATTCATCTTCATAACACTTCTCAATGCCTCTGCCTCATCTCTTCTCATAACATGACCGATCCATCTCAGCCTATTCTCTCTCATTTTCTCCGCAATTGATGCAACTCATAAACTCCACCTTATGTATTCATTTCTTAATCTATCTTCCCTAGTCACTCCACTTATCCACCTTAACATTCTCATCTCCACTACACTCATTTTCTGTTCTGTTTACTTATCTACTGCCCAACACTCCGACCCATATAACATTGCTAGCCTTACTACCGACCTATAAAATTTACATTTCAATCTTATAGGCACCCTCCTGTCACACAAAAGTCAAAACACCTGACGCTCTCCTCCAATTCATCAGTTGGATATAACTGTATATAAATATATATATCGATGGCATTATGTATGGAAACATTAAAATAGCAAAGTTTACACATTACACTTAACCTTTGCAAAACTGCTATTCTCGCAGATACTAAAGATACATGTGTTGCCCCTCGTCGAAGGGACAGTATGTTTATTTGTGTATTTCGGTGTATTGTTCAATAGAAAAGAACACTGAGAATATGTGGTAAAATGCAAAAGACAAATTAAAGTAACAAATTAAAACTACTTGCTAGCTATTACACTTTACAATTATAGTAATACAGAAACAGTCGATACGAATATATTTTAATAACAATACACTGTAATATTTGTATTTGAATGTTAGAAAAAAAGTTGAACCGTTTTTTATTTAACTTTATGAATTAAAAATAGCCATATAATATATGAGGTAATAAACATTTTAAACTTGTGTGGGAAACAGTAAAAAAAAAATATCTATTTTTCAATAATAGTTGCGATTGTTGATTGGGCTAAGTAATACATATATTACCTACCCTTTTCTCTATCACAGTCAATATCTGAATAATCCTAAATTTCACATTATAAGTTGAATGGTTATTTAACATGATGAAGGTTAAGCAAAGAAGAAATTTTAAAAGTAAAAATACAAAAAATGGACGCAGTAGTATCTCATTCGCGTCTACCTAATCAAACAAAAGAAAGTTCCATCTGCCAAATACGAAATGAACAAAACTAAATTAAGCTTATAGAAATTACAACCTCCCTTGACTTATCTTCAACCATTCATTTAATATAAAGAAACACTCGGAGGGAGAAACAATCATCTCGTCTACAGCTTCTTTAAGCACGTTGAGAAATTAGTATACAAAATAAAATGCAAATAACTTTTCATCAAACATTGTGAATAATTACACATAATATGCTATTTGAATATAAACTATTGATCTAGTAGTTGTAGCATTATAATTTATGATACAGAAAAAAAGTTTGGAAATGTTTCAATCACTTCCAAACACTTTCAAACGAATCCTTGGGGCTTGAAAATTATTCAAAATCAGCATAGTAGCTTGGATGTTCATAGATTCGTACAATGGTAAAGAAATTGTGCTTGGGTTATAACATGTTGATTATAAAACAAATGAGTTGACTTCTGATCCGGCCTATACAAATTGCATATGATTTTTGATCGTTAGAAGTTTTTTTAAGAAAGAAAATCGATCCAGCAGAAAAAAGTTATCATGTTTCCATGCATACATAAAAACCATATCAGTTATTACTTCCACAGCTTTAAAATGAAGCCAAAGTAAGATTATTATAATGTAGCTTTGGAATTGTTATAAATTACGTTTTACTAAAATAATTTATTTTATTTTCAATATAATATAAATATTTTTATTATTTCTGTAATGAACATACATAACTTTATATTTACTATGGTAATTTCAGTGTAATCTTTGCCAGTTTTCATCGTTGGCAGTATCTTGTATCTAAACACATTGCGATCGTTAATATTTTTTCTATTATAGTGTATATTAAATGTGTTGATTTCAAATATTTGTGGAAAAATAATTTGATTTTTAAGAAATATCTCGATTCCTGTAGTTTTGAAGGAAGTCACTAACTACAGCAGAAAATACTCGTGGCGGTTTGTTTTTAGTAATATTCATTGGTGTATCAAGTTTTCTTCTTTAGCTTTCTCAAGTATTGCTTAATTTTAGTCACTAGTGTGCAGCTACGCCAGTTTTTCAGAATATTTGCACCATAGTCTGGGATTAACAGAGGATCGGTAAAATCTATAAACTATACCAAATCTATAAATTATACCAAAAGAATATATACATATTCTATTGTGGTATTACAATTTCTATAAGTGGTATTACAATACAACAATTGTATAATCCGTAGAATGGCCAATCTATTTTACTTTTAAATAAATTCTTTCAGGAGTTTCCAGGGAATATTTAGCAACAAACCATGACTTGTAGCGTATACAAATTGCAAAACCATTAAAATAATTTTTTTTGTTTAGTTTCAAAATATACTTTTTTCATTTCAAGTTGATTAATAACGAGCTGAACGACATTAAATGCCCCTTTCGTTTATATGATCAACAACATTAAAAGTTATAAATAACTTATAATAATAATAACATTATTATGTACCTATTCTGACTGTTTTCCTTGTTAGTAATATATATTATTTTCTTGGTCTTTTTTTTTCTAATTCGGACTAGTTACAGACATTTTTAGCTGAGGATTTGTTAACACGGTTTTTTTATTTTTTGTTTAACTCTATAATAATTGCTTACGGTAGTTAAAAGCAACAAAGTTTTGTTACGCTATATGAAACTTGTTTTCCCTATTTAAAATGTTTTTTTTTTCGACCATGACTTTTTACATTACAATTAATTAGACTTTACTACTTCTAATACGCTGCACATAGAGCACAAAGAAAAATAGTTTTTATGTATTTGTTACTTTTTCTGTATTATTTTAGATTGATTGTATGATACAAAACATAAAACGTATTAATTAATATTTTTTTGATACCGAACGTAAGAAAATGTAAAGATTTAGTTTTTATATAAAACTGGTGTATTTTTAAAGATTGTACTGTATTAATACCATTATTGTTAGCTTCGATATGGAGCTGAGAAGGTATCGTATACTATCTATTGTTTCACATCAAAATTGTTTTTTGAGAGCGATTTCGTTACTCCTGGTTCTAATATTAATTAATAAAGACTGACCTCCCCGATTCTACTATGCCCCGACCTGACTATGCTATTACCCCACTATGCTCGCTTTTTTATTTCTATGTTAGCTTAAAATTTAATTTTAATTATTTCTTAACTGAAATTCAGATTATTCTTAAATAAAAAAATTATTTTTGCTGTACACAGGATATTTGATGTCTTGACAGTGGAGTGCAAGAAGTTTAGCGCTACGATAATATCACAATATTTTTTTTCTTATGAATTAAATAACGATTTTTTTATATTAAGCTTAGAGTAATATCGCTAAGATCTAGAGTCTTGATAATTAATTCTTCACGGCTCTGTTAAGTAAGTTTAATTAATATTATGAATAAAGTAAAAAACGGTGAAACTTTGTAATAAAACAATTTGTTAATAAAAATAATTATTAAGTACATAATTCAATACATATTTAAGCCATATAATTGTTGAACTGTAATATTTTCCAATGAAGGCTAATAAAAAAAAATCAATACTGTATCGTAATCAATAATATTTTTCTTGCTATCAATTACTTTAAAGTTATTGGTATTAATTAATCTTTCCACGACCCACATGTACTGATTGTTGATCAATCAAATGTGATCTTTTCGTTAAAGTTGAGTTATAATATTTTGTTTTCTCTAAAATGTCAAATGGATGTAATAGAACTTACTGTACGGTGTTTTTGTATTTATTGTT